GCACCACTGCTTCAACCACACTATAGAATTGATGTTAATTATCTGATCTTATGTAGATTTATATCGCGTCTCAGTCCAACGACCCAGACTTCTACAAACTACCCGACACGGTACGCACACATTGCACAAGAATCTCACGTTTCTTGACGAGGTCCCTGATTGTCTCTCCAGTTGGCGGGGGGTCTCGTATTACAAACGCAGCGCTTGGCATTTGGCACGGCCCTCACTGTATAAATATCTTCCTGTTGTTAAGCAGCGCAGAGGAGAGGCGGCACGGTCTGTTCACGTACCGAGCATCGAACCCCGTCGCCTTGGGTTCAATCCCGGGCCATGATCATAACGTCAGTGACGAGCCCTGGGCACCCCCCGCCCTGCTCCCACCCTAAAACCCGAACTGACCAGTGTGGTGAAGTGGAAAAATGTTATTTATTTCAGCAGGAAGGGCCCAACAAGCTGTTGGGCTCCTATTTGAATGGGCGTTCTGCAACGGTAAAGATGTTATACATCACAGATCTTAGCTGCAATCGTGGTTACTCAAGTGCGGACGTATATGGTAAAAAAAGTTCCACGACCGAACTCTTCATCCAGTGGTGGAATGGAAAAGGGCTGGACACTATACGGTGAATCTCAGTGAAGTCCCTTACTCGAATTGCAGAGTAATGTGGGATTTTTATTTTATGCTTTCCAAGCCACTGATGATTATTTCCGGTTTGTTAGTAAGTGCTCTTCCCTCACTCCCCAGTGTTAAGTGTCACTGCGCTACAAACCTGGAGGCTTGAATTCGATTCCCTATCAGGGCTGACATCAATGACGAGCGACATCTAAACCGGTCCCGGCACCGACCATTGCATTAAAGGTACGGTCAAACAATCTCCATGACGGACATGGCATAGGGGAGGCTTTTATCCAGCAGCGGATTGAGAAAGGCCTGGAAATAAACATTACATTAATCAGCCATTAAGCCGAGCAATGACTACGTTTTGCAATTATAGATACAAGCGCTTTAATTCTCGTAGGATTAAGATTATATTTACAGGCTTTGTAAAACCGTAAAATCATTTTTACGCCTTGTCTGTTTGCAACACCTGTGGCAAAAAAAAACACAATACCGGCCTCTCCGCCGTGCATTGGCACAAATATAGCAAATCTTCTAAATTATTATTATAGTCATTATTGGGCTTTGGACTAATTGTTTTTTTCTAGCACCGGAACGTTCTCCGGTTCACACCTACCCTGGCATAGCAGGCACCCGCACGCGTTCCCACAGCTCACGCCTGACGTAAAGGAACCACTCCGAAAATAGACGTCAGGAACGGCCTTCCGATCGGCATGCCATGGCACGCCACGGCAATGGCACAGGCACACAGGGCCCTTGCCCCCACACCACGTTGAAGCCAGCCAGCTCCCAGTTAAGTGGACCTCTGTTAGCTGCTGCACCTGCTGAACCGTGGCATCAACAACACAAAATGTGACCTGCCCCTACTGGACATCTGTGAAAAATAACTTCATAGCTCATCTGATTCCTCCAGTACAAATATTCTGATTCTGTAATGTAACATGCAGTCGTTTTGTCAATCCACTGCTGGATGAGAGCGTCCCCGTGTGTGTACGATTGATTCTAATTCACCACATCAGCCAATCTTCTTCATATGCAATCTTCAACAAGACTCCTTATCTCACGCGAGCACACGTCTCAGATATGACCCGTGCAGGGTGTTCATCGCACGTCAAACCATCATTTAATTCTCACAGCTGGAATAAGCTGATCTAAGTAACAAACTAAATTAAATGTGAATGTTTTTTTTTTGTGTGTGAAACCATTGCCAACCGAGTTAAGACTATCAGCTCATTACATTTAAAAAACCCAATTTAATCACGGGTGGCCGAAAGCCACATTCAAACCCAGGGTCTCAGCAGTGCTTGCAGTGCTCTGGCCTGGCATTAGCTTGCCAACCCACATGACCATATCCAGATCAGAGCATTATCAACATTGGTCATCATTATCCAACGCCGGATGATGACAGTCGCCGTTACCCACAGTCTTGCGGCGCAACAATCCATCAGGCTACAGCACACGAGCCGACTTCATGGCTCCATCTCGACAGTGGACGTCCCTCCGGACACCTTTTCTCCTTCGGCTGCTACTGCGTCGTGAGTCTCGACAATGGCCCATCGTCCCTTCCAGCAACGCGTCCGGCCCAAGCTCACTTGCTTTCCAAACAGTCAAGATGATGTTTCGAACACGTAGGCATTCCCTAATCCACGTGTTGCTTCTATTGCTCCCCTTTCAGCTCCCATTCAGAGTATTCTCCGTCAATGCCAAAACTCGGAGCACGAAGGTACTCCGAGTAACTGAGAAAGTATCTTTCGCGCTCGCACAGGGACAGAACCATGTTTCCACCAACGTCAGCGGGCGACTTGAGATTGGCATCGGGGAATGCGGGGCAACTTGCTTGGCTCTGTGTTCAGGTTCCAGCGATGAAACACAATCTCTGCCACTCAGTGCAGAGCCGATGCACAGGTATAAATCTCACGGCTGCCCATTGTTATTTTTCAAGTCTTTTTTTCCCCCAATTTCATTCGGAGCGCGCAAACGGCGTCGCGCCAGGAGACAAAGAACGCATTCATAACTCTTGAGCAGCAGGGCCAACCCCTGTGTTAAGACAGAGAAGAGTCCGTGGATGCATAGTTCACATAACTACTTCTGAGATCTCTCCGCAACAAGACCTCCATACTGGTGTGCAGCACTTTCTCTACGTGCCCTGCCACGGAAAGTGTAATGTTCGTCGCACGAGAGTCAAACTGACATTGTTTTCATTATGAAAGCTGGAATTTTGTCAAATTAAGTGCAGAACTAAAATGTTATGTTTAATAATGTGGATTCAGTAAGTCGGCTTATTTTGGGTAAGGCCCATTGAGCTAAGAAGCTCTTTTGCAATGGCCAAAATGGTTGATAAGGTAACAGGAGCATTACACAGTAAGGGAGGCTTTTTAAGAGCTGCATAGAACCAACCTGAACCTATGTACAATGGAATCTAGCCGGCGATGGAAATCTAGACTCACACACATGATTGTCACCAGAGGTGCCAGCTCAGCACTCTTGACCTCCAAACCACCCGGGGGGCCCACCTTTGTTGCCCATTCTTAAATTTTATTATCAGGCCACACAAAGCACAGGAAACCATCGTCTGAGCCGTCACCCAAACAGCACAGGCATGCTCAGAGCGGCACCACCGTGAGTGAGAACAGGCTGTTCGCCTTTTGGCATTCTCTGGTCTGACATTGGTCAGACTAGGCCATAAAAAGGCTGTCTCTGTGTGTAGGCCCAATCAGTTTTCAAAGACAATGCATGCATTATTATCAGAGAATGTTTGTGAGCATGTTCACCACAAGTACGTGTGGTTAATGCAGACTTGATTCCTTGCAAAAGGTATCTATTTGGTGTTTGAAGATCTTAACAACTCCTGTTGTATTGCCAAAAAGGGTAAACACCAATTATTATTTTTCAGACCGAGAACAGGCTCCACTGGCTTGACAGCAATCGTATTTGCACATCGCCCTGCACAATGGACCTCGGCTGAAATTTCAGACTAGAAAAAAATTGGGACTCATTGTGGCGGTCATGTCGGGGGCACGCCCTGTGGCCCCAGCTTCGAAGACAAGGGGTGGGTGGAATTCCGTTGACTTGCGAACCTCACAAACCCACAGACCCGCAGGTCTGACAGGTGGCCGGGTAATCGCAGCCCAACAAAGTGGGCCTCGATCTTCTCTGTGCACACCTTTGAGTGATATCCCCCTCCTTACGCAAGGGGGTTATCAAAGTAATCCAGTTTCCTCCACACACACAAACTGGCCAAACATGTCAGAGCAGGAACCCCGCCAGGTTAAGTCTTGAAGCTCATTGAGGCTTTACTGGATAAATATAATCAATATATATAAAAATGAAATTTGTGAACATGCGTGTCTGTTCAAAATGTTAAGCATACTTTCCCGACATGCAACAAACTTGAAATTTGCCATGTGGGTACTTTCCAGACTGTACACAATGCAAAAATTATAAAAATATGCTTTTTTGGGGGGGGGGACTCAATAATGCATTTTTTTGCACGGCAAGTGAGCTGTGACGTCACATCTGTCATGTGACCCGCGCATGTGGAAGCGTAACGCAGTGTGCCTGCTCATGTCACGCCCCCCCCCAACCCTCCGCGGCATGATTAAAGTGCCATACAGATGTGTTGCAGGTCTAAGGCGTTCTTCGCGCAGCATTGGTTTATTATTTCAGTCGTTTACTGCCGTACGCACCCTGAAAGTTGTGTGTGTCTGCAGCAAGCGCGTGTATGTGTACCTATGGACGCGCACGCGTGTGTCTGTGTGGGGGGAGCGGTAGTGTAGTGGTTAGCGCGCTGCGCTACGAACCCGGCGACCCGAGTTCGATTCCCGCTCACAGCCACCACCGGTGACGATTATTTTAATCGCTCCTGGGCCTCCCCTAGGTCGACTCAGCCTCAAACGAGTAACTGCTGTGGTGTGTGAACATCGCCACTGGGGAGACAAAGGCGGCCGGGCGTGGTTAATCCAAGCTCTGGGCGAAGCCGGGTAGTAAAGCTAGTTACATCATAAATACTCGTTCAATGTTTTCCCTGTCAAGTTAAAAGCGTTAATGTATAGATTTTGTCTGTTTGTGTTTGTGCATGTTTGTTATCAGAGGGGCGGGTGCACAATACATCTCATACAGATGATCCAATTCAAACTAACTCATCATATAACGTTGTGTTGCTAGTAGTGACTCACCCTATTGAAAACCAACCAAAGTGATCTAAGGGTTTACCAAACATGACATGACAACTACCATTACTGCTGCTAACCAAACACCTCCATAGACAATCACCATGTTGGAAAGCATTACACAATCCTTGCACGGGCACGATTTTTTCTAACTTGTTTCACGACGACGAAGACAATCGTAGACTGGCTATGGCGGCGTGACATATCCGACGTACCGATCTGCAGGAGGACGGGCGTCACCAGGGCCGTCTCCATGGCGTAGCAAAACTCGCGGCCGAACATGATGGCGCCGTGCATCACCCACTGCTTGATCGTCACGGCGCCGTCCTCGCTCTGCTCGTCGGCTTCCTCCTCCTCCTGCTCCTCTTCGTCATCGTCGGCGGCAGCAACTTTAGCCCGCAGCGCGACTTCTCCGCCGCCTCCTCCTCCACCATCACGGCCGCCGCCGCCACCTCCATCGCCTCCACAATCAAGACCGCCGTCACCGCGGCCGTCGCCTCCACCATCACGACCGCCGTCACCACCGCCGCCGCCGCCTCCATCATCGCGACCGCCGTCACCACCGCCGCCGCTCTCCTTCACGTTCTTGAACGAGACGGTGGCCGCGCGCCGTTCCTTCCGCGCCAGCCCCTCGCGCGGAGATTTTTCCGAACGCTCGTCGTTGTTGTCGTCGTCGTCATCGTTGTCGTCGTCGTCATCGTTGTCGTCGGAGGAGGAGCAGGCGCCGCATGGCTCCCCCGGCGCCCCCCCGGGATCGACCGGCGCCCCGTCGGCAACACGTGCTGGCTCGCGCTGGCTCGGCAGCTCGGGAGCCACTGCTCCGACGTGCAGAGCTTTGATGTAAGCGACGAACTTCCAAGCGTTCGGTTCCTTTAAATCCGTCATGGGACACACCCCTGCCCCGGTGTCTGTCCCTCTCTCTGGCTCTCCCGGTTGTTGTTGCTCGCACCGGTCAGCTTGGTGGTTGGCGGTGGGGGTGCTGTATGCAGCTTATATACAGAGCATTCCTGTTTCGAGACTTCCCCCTCCCCAAGCCTCTAATATGTTTTAGACAAAGTTAATAAATAAAAAATCCATTCACTTAATTCCAGCTTCATTGCCTTGATGGTGATCGTGCTGTGCGGCTCAGTTCTCGTAGCAGTAAAGACCTCCGCTCCGGGTCCCACCCCCATCGATTGTCCGAGGCTCTCGGGGCTGAATCTGCATCACACAAGGGCAGACACTGATGAGCGCTTGCGCTCACACGCGAGCCCTCGTGCTCATTATCGGCCGGTGTATTTACGGAGCCGTTAGCCCGACTCTTCGTTGGCGCGCTGAGGGTGGGGGAGCAACAGGGGCCAATCGCAGCGATGTAACCCAACATTTGTTTAGGTATCGCAATCTCCAGTGATGAGCAATTAACATGTTCATATTTACATAACGGACACTTCACAAAAGGATTTCTCGGAGAACAAAGGACGCAACCAAACAACAAGTAGTTCCTTCTTCCTGGATTTACATAACAAGGCTATGACCTCAGCTATCTGTCACAATGAGTAATCGTCATCATCCGCCATGATTAATCCACTGCTGGATGAAGGCCTCCTCCCAAGCCATCACTAACATTCATAGTCACGCAACTAGCTTCCTGTGCACGAACTAATCTCATTGCTCCATCTCCACAGAGGGCATACCCTCTTGGGCATATCACCTCCCCTTGGCCTTCCATGGAAATCTTGGGTGTAATAATCTATATTAATCGAGGAATCTACGTGTTGTCACATGCCCAGTCGGAGGATATTCTGACCAGGTGTCCTCCAGGCTGACATTTAATTTATTGAAAGAAAAACGCATTTAAATTCATTATTCAGCAGAACTCTAGGACAAAGCAAACGTAAGCAGAGTGTCTTTCTGTGTCTCTACAAACAAATAATACTAGTTTTAGTCCAAAAGCATAAAGTATTGGCTTTTCAGATCAAAATAACTGGTAACATGTGCTTAAACAACAGCCTCTGGAACAGTTTCGACCTTCTGGGTTTCATCAGCACAGTTAGGCATGTGAAACAATGCTGCTGGATTTCGATATGTTACTGGTAAGAGTACAGCATGGAACGATGACGCTCTGTTCACCGTTTGTGTACACTACTTGAATGTTGCATTAGAAAGCATGAGGATGATACCACCGTGATGCCACTAGGAAAGCACATTTTTACGATTTTGTTTTCTGGTTAACAAAACTTCTAACTCATATTAGGCAGCCTACACAGCCTCGTTACGTGTTTACAAGGCAAAGTTGCAGCCCTGCAATTGTCTGCTCACACCACTGCTGGCATGAGGTCCTCCAAATAGAGGAAGCTCAAAAATGCACCTCTGGAGGGTTTTCGGCCTACTCTCACACGCTGGCCACATGTCTCAGAAGAGGCGTGAGTACCCACACACACCTAACCCCACAACCCACGGCAAATATATTATTATCACATCACAATCCACGGGGCATTTGTTTGCAAATTTCGTAATTTCCACTTTCGTCTGAATTGTGCCAATATGCTCAAGTAGTGCCACATCTTTCGGGGACCAATAGCTTTATGTCATCGTCAAGGCATCCTCTGTTAGGTCTTCCTCTCTTTCCTGTTCCTTTCATTTTTCCTGAACACACTTTTAATGCTGCTGTTGTTGTCCATCCTACATGTGTGTCCAAATAGTGCCAGTTTCCTTCTCGTCACTGCCTGCATCAAATCTTCCTCTCTATGTAACCTTTCTTACTTCTACGTTGGTCACTCTTTGGGTACGGCTTAGATGAAGGATCCTTCTGTAGCAATACATTTCGAGTGCCAATATATTATCTCTGTCAATTTATACTCGCCCATTATTTTAACTGCCGGGGTGGGAGTTCAAACCGGCGACCTCTGGATTGCAAGTCCGATGCGCGAACTATTACATCATGGCAGCATCCCCTTGCAAGATCGGGGGACTCGTCAAACTGCGAATGCAGTGAAATGCAAACCTTAAAGGCGCATAACACTGATGATTGCCCAATGCAACACGAGTATCTGGTGGAACGAGCGGACTCCAATTCAGCCACCCCCCCCCGGATGCCGTGGAATGGCTCACAACGTTATCAAGAACAATTGTAGCCTTAAATTTTGATTTAAAGCTTTCGTGACTGCAGTAATTCATATTCTTAGTTTTTTCGGTAAAGTCACGTTGAAGGGAAACAACAAAATAATAAAATATATATAAAACAATAAAAAATTATCACGACGTTTCGACCATAACTCAAACGGTCGTCTTCAGGTGTGTTGGTTTGCATAAATTTATTTTTATACGGCGCATTTATTTATTTATAAAAAAACGTTAGCGACACGCGCAACGATTTGGCAGTTTATTTAGGACTAGTCCATCTATATTCTGAAAAGAGGAGGGGGGAGACGAAATTTTTTTTTATAATGTATGCTGTCTGAAAGCCACTGTAAGCGTGAACAATCAATTAAGACCTGAAATGGTTTATCAAATCTTTCCAATGATTGCTAAGATAGAATCCATCTTCATGGTTGAAAATTTCGTCTCCCCCCTCCTCATTTCAGAATATAGATGGACTAAATTTTGATTTAAAGCTTTCGTGACTGCAGTAATTCATATTCTTAGTTTTTTCGGTAAAGTCACGTTGAAGGGAAACAACAAAATAATAAAATATATATAAAACAATAAAAAATTCTCACGACGTTTCGACCATAACTCAAACGGTCGTCTTCAGGTGTGTTGGTTTGCATAAATTTATTTTTAAACGGCGCATTTATTTATTTATTTAAAAAAACGTTAGCGCCACGTGCAACGATTTGGCAGTTTATTTAGGACTAGTCCATCTATATTCTGAAAAGAGGAGGGGGGAGACGATTTTTTTTTATATATATAATGTATGCTGTCTGAAAGCCACTGTAAGCGTGAACAATCAATTAAGACCTGAAATGGTTTATCAAATCTTTCCAATGATTGCTAAGATAGAATCCATCTTCTCGGTTGAAATTATCTCTGTGCTTGTATATGTGGATAGCCTCATGAACGAATCTCTCATGGAAGCCAGATGGCTTACAAAGAACCTCTGTCTTGGAAAAGTCAATGGCATGTGAGCCTACTGAATTAGAACAATGATCTGCCACGGCCGAGGTGTTGGTCCTACCGTGTTTAAGGTCTGCTTTGTGTTCACGAATGCGGTCCGAGACATGGCGTTTGGTTTCTCCAATGTAACTACTACCACAGAGGCAACTTAGTTTGTAGACACCAGGGTATTGTATGTCCGGAATCACATCTTTTACAGACGGAACCAGATCACGGATTTTATGTAATGTGTTGAAACGGACCTGGATCTTGTGTTTATTCAAGATTTTGGAGATATTTTTGTGATCCCCGCAATGTAGGGTAAAGTGATGGTTTTGAAAGGCTCCTCAAGAGGGTTCTTCTTCATGGTTTGAGTGATAGCTTTGCGGATTGTATAGTCGGAGTAACCATTAGCCCTAAGAGCTTGGTGTACGTGTTTGAGTTCACTGCTTATGTGTTCCTGGTCGGATATGCATTGGGCTCTATGATACAGAGTCTTGATGAGAGAATTCTTCTGTGATGGATGGTGGTGGGAATCCGGTTTCAGATAAGCATCCGTATGGGTAGCTTTCCTGTAGACAGAGTGGCTCATTGAACCATCAGGTCTCTTTTTAATTAGGACATCCAAAAAAGGTATCTTGCCATCTATTTCGACTTCCATGGTAAATCTGATGGCTGGGTGTATGGAATTGATGTGGTCGAAGAATTGGTCCGGGATAAGAAAGCTCAGCTGATCGAGTCTCTCACCTTCCTGAAGAGATGCCGCGACTCTGGGGTAATACCAATCGCATTTACACTGACCTCTGCTGCTGTAACTTCTTCTAATGCGAAACGAATTCTTTTCAAAACTAGCTTAGCTCTTATCTCAGAAAAAATCAGACTTATACGCACCGAACTAGATCAGTTAGACAAGACACTCTACAAATCACACTTATCATTGACGGCAACAATGTCCACATCGGATTGGGAACATGTAGACAATATGACTGCCTCTTCAGCTGCTACTATGTCGACCAAATGTAAGGAAAACCTGATTTCCAAATTTAACCTCCTCTTCAACAAAAGACCGGACCCACACACCAAAAAGTTAGACGTTAATAAAGTCGTAATTAATCGCAGTAACAGTTCTATTTCCAATGGTCTGAAATCCGTTTTAGCTAAAGGTCTAAACTTTGCAGTCACACCTAAACACATACCAGTTAATGATATAATTGCCCAAGTAGACGTTGCTCTCAGGGGCCTGGGTCACATCGCTGCAGACGTAGCAAGATCTGAAATCGCTGCAACCCTCAAAAACGCTAAGATGCCAGCTAGCAACCTCAGCAAAGATGAGCGTTTTGAATTATATAAATTAAAAAAGAGAAATGATATTGTAGTCCTCTCAGCTGACAAAGGCAATGCTACTGTCATCATGGATAAAATAGAATACAACAACAAAATTAAAGAATTACTCGACGATGGTAGTTATACAAAAATAAAAAGAGATCCCACCAACAGCCTCGTCACACAAACCAACAAAATTATTTCTGATTCAACCGCATTAATTGATCAATCTAAACAGTTTTCGTTGAAACCTTCTGCTGCCAGGCCACCAAGATTATACGGCTTACCAAAAATACATAAAGTAGATACACCCCTTCGTCCCATAGTCTCTACTATCGGCTCCCCCACCTACAAACTAGCTCGTTTTTTGTCTGAAATCCTGCGTCCTTTCACTGGAAAGACCACCTCTGCGGTACAAAATTCTACTCACCTGGTATCGACAATCAAGGGTATTTCCCTGTCCCCAGACGACCTGCTTGTCAGTTTTGATGCAGTTTCCTTATTCACCAAGGTTCCTGTACCTGACACCATTGCAATCATTGAAGACTTGGTTCATCAAGGACTAAACACTGAGGTACCCCCCCTGGTGAGACACTGTTTAACCAATACATACTTCACTTGGAATGAAACTTTCTACAAACAAACTGAGGGCACCCCAATGGGCTCCCCCCTTTCTCCAGTTATAGCTAACATTTTCATGGAGAAATTTGAGACTGACGCCATCCAGACTGCCACTCTGCGCCCAACCTTATGGAAGAGGTACGTGGATGACACTTTTGTCATCTGGCCCCATGGCCGGCCTG